CTGTCTGTACAACGAGCCTAAACCGGGTCACCATCCGAAGCATAATGTAGGGGCCTAAATAGTTAATGACCAATGCTATTTTGGGGTTCTTGATTATAATTAGAGTGGAATGGGCCCCAAAACCCTATTCTAATCTTTAAGGCCCCTATGTTACCAGGGTTTGGGGGCTTTGGGTGCGGGCACGTGGCTAGGAAGGCTTTCATCGCGTCGTCGTCAAACAAGCGCTCAAACCTTGCCAAAAGCGCTTCGCTGTTTGTGGGTTTAGACAATGCTTCTCCCTTAGCTATGTACGGCTTGGGGGTTAAGCCATCTGCGCTGAAAACTTGCCTACTTTATAGGCTTAAGCAGGCTTTGGGATTCTTGGAATTGCATCCTGTCTCAGGTTTCAGGCTTTGGGGTTGGTTAGAGGATTCTAATCCGCCAAGACCCTAGACCCTAAAAGGCTTCGGCATCCAAGCTAATTTATTCAATATCTTCTCATCCCCTCAACTCCCCTTCCCAGACTCTGATCGTGGGATGCGGGGTCGGGGGCCCCCAGGCCCAACCCATCCCACCAGCAAGTAATTCAGTTTAAAATCTCGAAAATCACAATGAGCCAAGCGCAGTTCGTCAGCTGCTGATGTCAACTACAACTACCACTACCACAAATTACTCCTATCCCCACTATGATAGCACGAGCACTGGCGCTTGCACTACCACCATCACCGCAGCCACTGCCCCCACCACTCGACCTCCATGCAACCCGTGTTCGTCAACAGCTGACAAATCGATATCACCACCATTTGCTACGGCTACCAGAAACACCGATTCCCAGATCTTCATGAACTCTGGGCGTCTCAGTGGTCAAAACGAACAGGGCTTGGGGTGCTGGCCGGATTAAGACTGCCAATGCTGGTAGCCCAAACTCTACATCAAGCCAAAGACGCAGGGGCAACAAGGCAAAGGGCGACTCAATCAATGCTAGCAATCAGCACAAGCATGATGAGAAGGGTGCTCGTGATGGTGGTGGTGATGATGATGATGCAAGTGCACTCCGATCCTTGTCCCAGTCCTGCTGTTATAACATTATACTCCTACTGCTTGTTGACTGTAGGTCGTCCCACCCAGAACAATATTCCAACATGATTGGTTGGGATGGGGCAATGACACCAAGCAGCTCGGAAATAGTGATACGTCCCAGACCACTGCCTAGCATCAGCCGGTGCTTGCACTCTGAATGGACAGCGGCCGGACTGGACTGTTTGCTGTGATATTCGTCGATGCTTTGAGGGTTTAGGGTTTAGGGGTTAGGGTAACATACCGGAACGATGGAGACGATGATAGTGATGGCTTTGCTAGAGGTCTTGCAGAAGGCTTCCAACTAGTTGTATTCAGAATCCGTTACCGACACTCTCCAAGCTGTGATCTTCTTGTTTAAAGCGCCAGGGGATATGTGTTCCAGGTTCCCCAGTAGCACCTAAATAACAAGGGTACCCTCGTTCCTACTATTTGGCTTTATAAAGGGAACCCAAAAGGGAAAAGGGCAAAAGGGTACTACTGGGAAACCTAGTGTTTGCAGAGCAACGGTCAACTGGTGCTCGGGCCCCTCATCCTGGCTGATCACAAGAAGGCTGTGGATGATGGGGATGTAAGTTTAGGGTTCAGGGTTTTGGGTTTAATCCTTCAGATGCCTTCAAACCTCAACCCGAAACTAACCCATGCCTCCGAAGCCTGAAGAACCCTAAACCCTCAACCAAGAGTTGGCCTTCTGCGATTGATTGGGGACAAGAGCCGGGAGGCTTTAATCATTAGAAGAAGGCTTGAGGGCGATTCCTTTAAGGTCCCTGTAAAAGGGCTCTACAATGGGGGCTCTATGATGCAGGGCGGCATCCGGCATCTTGCAACCCTGGCCTGCAGCAAGCCGTCTTTTAGATGCCGGTTTCGGGTTCTGCGCTTCGCGTTTAAGGGGGGGCTTTGTCCCTGTTGACCTCTGAGCAGACGGCGTTGAACACAAAAAATGGGGTTAAAGGAAACTACAGGTGGGGAGTTTAGGATATACAGGGCTTCTGTAAGGCTTCCATAAGATATATAGACCTTCCATAAGGCTATAACGGTAACCACCCACCTGAAAATGTCCTAGACCAAGCTGCTGTCCATCTTGCTAAACAGATCGTGGGCCAGCTGCCTGAACTCGCGGTGGTTTTGCCTGAGTTGCACCGCATTAGGGTTTAGGGTTTAGGGTTTAGGGCTTAGGGTTTAGGGTTTAGGGTTTCGACACCTTGAAGCCTTCGTCCCTTGCAGCTTTCGCTTCGAGCCTTCTGCAAGCACACCTGCACAAAGAAGGCGTAAGAACTCTTGGTGGGTCTTGTTCGACTGCCCGGACCCCTTGCTTGCACAGCTGATCGAGCTTTGAACTGCTCTGTGTATATGTATATATACACACACACATGCGTATGCATACTTTTGCGTATACACATCTGCTTGCACAAGACATGCATTGATTCCTCTTGGTTTGGTCCCTTCAACAAAAACTGGCATGTCAAGTGCCACGCTTGAACTGGGACGAACCCGTCTGCGGTCCCTAGGGCTCCATGTACTAGATACTTATGCCTTAAAGTACCTTTTTAGGGACCCCTTGAAGGCCTAAGTATCTACTATAAAGGTACATGGAGCCTTTGGGGGTATGCCCTAAACCCTAAACCCTAAACCCTAAACCCTAAACCCCAAACCGAAGAAAACATAATCCCTAAAACCCTAAACCCTAAACCTTAAAGCCTAAACCCCCCTAAACCCTAAACCCCTCTGCAGG